TGACACATAGTTTGCACACTCGCAGGGAGAATTATGGGCGCCAATATAATTTTGACACGCCCAATAAGACCTTTTAGATTCACTCTAGATACCATTCGATCAGATCTTGTTGGTTGTAGAGTTTAAGGTATATGGTTTCAACTTAACGTCAAGGAGGATGAAGGTAGAAGATGTTGGTTGGCAATGAAGAACAATAATTCTCATAGCAGAGAGAAAACAAATCTACAGTACTGTTAGTTCATACATTTTTGTAGTAGGACTCACACTGTAAGGTTGCGATCAATATATTTTTCTTTATTTCATCAACTAAAACCAATCATAATTTGGCTTAATCTTTTTAGATTCCATATATACTTGAAACCTTACGGTTAGTCCCCGAAACGTGGACCAGCTTAAGAAACTACGACTAGTATATGATCAACATATATATGCACACACACATATAAGTAAAAAATGCCTAATTTTATAAATGGTCCTCGTGGTTATAAGGTACTCGAAAGATAACTCATGTGGCAAAAAAATTAGGATTTAAACCCCTGTGGTGAACTCTATTAGAATTTATGTTTCTCCATTAGTAGCCTACATGTGAGTGAGGCTAAGATTGTCATTTCATCTCTTTCCCTTTCATCCTTTCCATAGTCTTTGCTTGAGAACAATCAAACACTAATTGTTTATCTTAGGAATTTGATAGACAACATATATTGGGAATTACCATGTGAATTAAAGAGCATTCATTTTACCTTGCTGAGAAGAATTTAAAGTATAATTATGAGCAGAAGTTAGGAAATTTGGAAAATTTGGATCGTGGGTACCATTTTTGGGCGAATTTAATCTTGCCCATTTCGACAAATTTGCCTTTGAATGATGGGTTATGGTTTGAAATCCATAATTCGACTGATGCACAGTTGAAGGAATTTGTGATTTTGGAAATAGTAGCTTGCCCTTTGTTATTTCATTGGTTTTCGATTTCAATGGTTTAAATGGCACATTTTTTACAAGGGTGGGCAGGACTGTGTCATCAACTGGATGGGTGAAGCCCTCATATGGGAACTCACAACTGATGCGATTCAAGACTTATATTATAGTAATACAATGGTAATGAGGAATGATTGTTCAATCGAAAAACGGGGACCAACTATGGAAAGGATGAAATGACCATCTTAGCCTCACACTTGAGGCTCATGTGAAATTACTAATGGAGGTATGACAGAAGTTTCAGTTTTGGGCATAAATTTACCATAAAGGCTATCTTTTGTATAGCCTGCGACCATGGGGACCATTTATCTGATTTGGCCAAAAAAAAAAGAATTGTAAAGGTTCCCAAATGGTAAATGGAAATGCAATACACAAATGGGTTATCTAGGGTTAACTAATGGGTCGTTTGATAACTATTTCATTTTCGGTTTAACCATTTTATTTTCAGTTTTCACCTTGTTGAAACTTGAAAACTGAAATCTTGTTTTGTAACTTCTTTCTAACACACCTCGACTGGGAATGTCTACGTAAACTCCAAATTGACCTTTGCTGGCTGACACCAGGAAAGTGATGAAGCCATAAAATGTAGTGATGTGGAAAATGTGAGTAAATTTAAACCTATAAGTGACTAAATGTAAGAGTGCGCATGTGAGCGGGATTAAACCCATTTCACATGTGATGTCAGAGCATAAGCATAGTATAGTAAAAGTAGAAGAAGAATTATACCATCGAAAGTATTCTCCTATAACAACATTTTTCAAGAATCCTCGTTGACAGGAAAGCTCCACCACTAAAACCTGGAGGAGTGAAAAACAAGGGTGAGTGAGCCTAAAATAAAGCTTTGTAAAACCTTTTCGAAAATGTAATAATCCCTCGTTGAAAAACAAAATATAGTTTCCAAAAATAGCATACTACGTATAGTATGAAAATACTTACCGTAAATAGTAAGATCACAAGAATGCAATAATTCACAATATTCAACATATAAAACACATGAAAAACGGTAATCACAATAACTCGAATAAATGAACATAAACTATTGGGTGCTCATTGACATATGCTGACACACAATCTCATGCATAGATATTCTGACATGAACATGACTGGGTGTAATATGATTTATGCTCTAATACTACGATCATGTGAAGATTGGTGCTAAGCGCATCGCATACGAGTCCTAATTGCCTATAACAATCCAGTACTAAACTGGCACCTACCATGGATCCAAGGTGAGCATATCGGTGCGATGTGAACATCAACATGAAGGTTGGCGCCCTGGCCCGGGCGAGTACAAACACCAGTGTAAACACACAATGAGCAGATATCGTAAATATGATCATGCAATGGTAAATCGATCATTCTAGTAAACATAATACTATCATGGCCGTAAATATAGTTAAGGCATTCTGTAGGATTTATAATGATCTCATAATTCTTATCATTACGAATTTTCTTATAAACCTTAATTTAATTATGGCATCATGTAGAAAATTCATTATTAAATATTTATGGAAACTAAATAAATATATATACTATATAAAAGAAAAAACTCACTCACGGATACTTGCGAGATCACATTCGTTCAAGCTAAGAAAGCTGGAGTCTCTGATGGTAATCACATCTAAACATAATATTAGGTCTCATTAGTAGAACTCAATTAAAATGTTTAAATTTGGAAAAACAGACGGTAGATTTGGAATCAGAGCGTCAAAATATGCTAAAAAGGGTCCCATGCAAATTTTCTAAAAAGTTAACGAGAAAGTCAACGGTCAACCAAAAAGTCAACTAGGCCGCCCAAGTGGTCAACTATGTTAAAACCTTGGAATTTTCACTAAATGGATGCCAAAAACTGAATCAGGGCATCTATAAAATCTAGTATTAAGTGTTTGGCTTTCCTTGTCAAATATTGTATTTGTGTATCACATGCTCATTTTAGTTTTAGACTACATTATCTAATTATAAGATGCTGCTACTGGGATTAAATGTTCAAGGTCATGGTTCACCTCACTTCAAAAGGTTTGTTTATGCATGTTCATTTCATATCTTTATTTGTGTTGCATTCTGTCTAGTTTAATTGTCTAGTCAGTTTTGTAAGCTGACTTCCAGATGTCTAGGTACACAAATTAAGACAGCTCACATGGGCTGACTAACATTTTTCTGCTAGTAGTAAATTTCTAGTCGTTAATTTGCCTGGATTTTTTTTGCAGCCCAAAAGTGTCCTTGAGACAAGTTGACTGATGGAAAATCTGATTTCCTTGGGTATATTTGTTCTTTAGGGTTTCAATTTGAACTTGGGGGTTTATAATGAGAGAATGTCTTCAAAGCTTTGAGCTTGCCTCTTTTTCATTTATAGGACCCTAGCTGCCAAACTTTCTTCGCATTAAACACCCAATCATTGTATATTAGGGTTGCGTTGTTTTAAGGTTTTGCATTAAGTTCTTGGTCTGGTTTTAAGCTTTAAATCAATTTTTAGACCAAGCTTTTAGATTCAAGTTAGATTCTTCCTTCAACTGTTTGACTAGAGAATCTCACTAGTAGTTTGAATCTAGATTTTATATGCATATCATAACATCATATAATTTCGTGATTTGAGTTGATATCGGTGCCACAAGGTGAAGAGCTCAGGAGGAGGTGCCACTTAGTGAAGACCGAAGGAGTTCATCTTGTATAAAGTAAGGTCGCACAAAGGTAAAGTTGCTCCATAGATAGGGATCTAGGAATTGAACTTGTGTGATCTTTGTATGAATCTTGTTCACACTAGTGGATTGGACTCAGTGGAGAGTCCCCGATTTTTTAACCCAGAGATGGGTTTTTCTGGCCAAAAACATCCCGTGCAATTTATTGCTTTTCAAGTATACTTATCTTACTCTTTGCTTGTGATATATGTTCATCATTATTGGCAAATAGATAAGTCCATGCAACTAAGATTGTCAGAGTTAAAATATGCACTGAACTGGATCTTAGTTAACTAGGAACACTTTAGTAAATTGAGCCTTGAATTGACTACTTCCACTGTGAGTAAACTAACATATATGATCTTAGTTGTTGAGTGTTGCTAAGTAGTCAGACAAGCACGTATATAGATTTTAAATTGCAAGTTATTAGGAGAGAAAATTTGATATACCAATTTACTAAAATACCCACAAGTTTTGTAATTCCGTAAAATCTTCATCGGAACCTCGATTTCAATTCCGCTTGCGCCCACGCTTTGTAACGTCGAGTACTATAAGGATACGCTAAAAGAATGTTTTGTATGTCTCGCTATCGCTGGTCAACGAAAGTCAATATCCTCGCCTTTTGGGGCATTTTGGCCAATTCACACCTTTAAAATTATAAAAATCGTAAAATTAGGGAGTAGTTATTACACTTTCAGTTTTTAATTTAAAAAAAAAACGAAAACTAAAAACCAAAAACCGAAAACTACTTGCTTAAGTTTTCAAAGTTGGCCTTTTTAAAAGGAAAAAAAAAAACTAAAAATAGTTACCAAACAATATTTCAGTTTTCAGTTTTAAAAAAAAAAGTGCAAAGTGAAAACCAAAACCAAAAACTGAAAATTAAATATGAAATGGTTGTTAAACAACCCCTAATAAGATAGTTTGCCTCATTGCTTCATATCCAAAAAAGAGATACTTGGCTTCACAAAATTGTGGAGGAACTCCCCTTAAAATAGTTTGTGGTGATTCTTAAAAGTTCGTTCATCCAATTAATGTAGCAAATAGATAGATTCATAATACTTTTATGGTTATGGCAATCTGTTTTTATACAATTCTATAACTAAATAGTCTCATATTTTATTTATTTTTTATAGAGACAATTATAAACCAAAGGTTTCTTGAATCACCCATTAACTACTTTTGCTTGGAGATTTCTTGGGCAATGGGTACATTCATTTCAAAGTTTCTGTAATATTCATACTAGCAAGAAAGTTAAAACCACAAAAAAGTAAAATGAAAAATTTAACATGATGAACTTTGCAGAAAAGAAGAGGAAGATTAATCTGTTAGGTTACTGCAGACCACAGAAGATTATAACCACAAATGCATGGTTCAAAATTATTCCAAATATGACACAAACCCCACTTTAATTAAAATTTAAGCTCTCATCTACTAAGTAAAAATTAGTTGTAAAACATGACCATTAACTAATTTATAAGCTAGCTACTAGCCAAAGAGATCAAATAACAGACCAAGAAAGAAGAAGAAACAAAAGAGAGATTCTATATTAATTAACTGGTCAGATCATTTTCTTGAGGAATTTCAACTTGTGAATTTCAAGCAGGTATCCAAGCAGTGGCAAACACAACATTGTGCCCTTTCCATGTAAGCACAACATCTTCGTCTTCTCTCTTCAATCCCCAACCAGCTGCATGTTCATCAAGCATGGCCTTCACTTCCGAAACCGCATCTTCCCCGAACAAAACGCTTCGAAAGTTGGCGTTTCGCATCCGCTGCACCCACCTGCATTTCGGCTCGAGCCTCTCCACCCTCTGAAACCCTTCGTACGCTATCACGTTCTCAATCTTCCAACACACATCCGCCTCATACCACTGCCTCTGCTTGCTTCCCCGGGGCAAAAATGTGTCCACGGTGTCGTAAGGTATCCACAGGTAGTTGAAGGCCGACCTCAATCTACACACTAGATTATTCGATGTCAAATCCGCATCTTCGTCCACTAAAACCACAATCGTTGGGTCCAAACCCCGAAGCGCTTTTAGAAACATTGTCCTTAGCGATGGAGTAGTACTCGAAGAGGACGATGCTACATCGAAAGCGTAAGAGCTAGTCGAACCACTACTGCTTGGATTCAGATTGATTGACGGAAGTGTTAATGTCTCTTCAGGAATGTAGTGAAGCATCATGTGGCAGTTCACGACAAGCGCCTCACCACTCTCCGCATATACTAAATTTTGCACGCGGAGTTGTTGAATCAGGTTGGCAAACCCGTCGGTGTAACTTGACGGGATGACCCTAAACTCTAAAACTATATTTCTGGACCTGGCGAAATTAACCAACTTGAAACCTAGTTCCTCGTAAGAGAGGTCCAGCATTGGAGGAATGTCCTCCGTGGTACCTGCCACAGTGAGCTTCAGCAACGGAGGACTCACATTAGCGTCCTGACGGCTGGCAATGGCGTCGACAAGAGTTGGGATTTGCATGCAATGCGTCAAGCTCAGGTCAACAATGTGAACCACAGAATACCCTTCAACGGCTTCTAGAATTGCTGCATTTGCGGCGGTGAATCCAAACCTGTGCCACGGGGTCAAGTCGATGAAGGAGGCGAGCTCAATGACTGAGAACTTGTGAGTGTGGATGGTGAAGTTGGCTTGGGAGTTGGCCATGGCTGCGAGGACCTTGCAGCTTCCGATTCGGGCTGCGCGGGCTATGAGGGCACGGAGAAACGCGCAGGTGAGGCGCTGGTTGGAGTCGCCGTCTTGTGGGGCGATGTTGTTGAGGACCCAGAGGATCTGCTGGGTGAGGGTGGCGTCGTTGGTTTCGATGGCGTTGGCACAGTGGACAAGCAGCTGCTCCATGCAGTTAGCGTCGCCGAAGTTTGTTCCGAGGGACTTTGGGGTCGGGAAGCCGGGCCACGGACGCGTACGGTGGGTTTGGTTTTTGTTCATCATTTGGAGGTTATTGGAATAGGGTGTGGGGATAATTTGGTGCAAGGACGTTGGTGGTGGTGTCTCAGTAAATTGCATCATTGGGAGGGAAAAGAGAAGGGAAGACAATTTAGAAAAAAAGGTAGAAAATTTGTTGCTTTAAAAGAAAAGATGGAATTACTCGGAGGAGTTCAGAAGGAAAGAGACCAGACTGGTAGTGGGTAGATTTAGCATTGGGAAACTTAAAATTTTTAGTAGAGTTGGGAGAATTGTTCTGGAAATATTATGAATGGGAACAAAATAGAGAGTTCAGCTTCTTTTTTTTTTTTTTTTTTTTCTGAAGGGAGGCAAAATTAATAATTATACATAGAATTTATGGTTCTTGACATGGGGGAAAAGAGACTGATCAGGAGGAGTGAACTCGCATCTCCAAAAATGAAATGGAAAAAAAGTGTAATTGGAAGTCAAAATTGGGGGAAAAGAGACTGAACCTAACAGTATTCAGGCTTTTTTCTTCTGCTGTACAGTCAGAAAAGAGGTGGATGGATAGATATAAATCAGAAAAAAGGTGAGGAGAGCAATAAGGCAATAGAAGCAGTTCTGATTCAACAAACCTTTTCAAGCTACAAAAGGGTCTAATCCCTTTTCATATCGCCTTTTTGCTGATTTTTCTTGATCAGGTAAGACAGATAGAAGGCTAGCTGATATATCATATAAAAGGAGAGAGAGAGAGAGAGAGAGAGAGACAGCGGGTGTGGTGTGGTTTTAGTGTGTGAGTTGCGTTTTGGTGGCATGTGAAGTTAGCCGGCCAGGGGATTGTTTGTATGTGGAAGTTGAGATTTTGTCATTGAATGAGGGATGGGGATCGGAAGCAGTTACTAATCTTTTGGTTCAAAGTTCATCAGTACTTTTTACCAATTGATCACTGGCCACCATATATCATATGATCATATCACGCATATCATGAACAAATCATTTTATCAAAGCAGTTTTTTTTTTTTTTTTTGTTGCTATGTTTCATTCCTTTCATGAACAGTAGTGGCGTTTTGGTGCAATTGTTTTTAGTAAAAAGTACGTTTCATTTTACTAATAGTTTCCGAAAAGTATTGTATTATTTAGATATTTTGGTTAAAAAAAATTAACTTTTTACATGCAAAAAGTAAAATATTTATTGTCTAAATACTCAATTATGCAGAGAAAATTTTACCTATTTCAACTTTGAGTAAAACTCAAATTTTAGGTTCTAAATTTAGCCTAATTTGCTCTAACCCTTGGGGCAAAGATGAGTTTGAACCAAAAACTCATTTCTGGGGAAAATTTAGCATAGGATTCCCCCTCGGGTTAGTGAGGCTGACCCACTATATATGTGTACCTTTTTTAGTTTTATATTTACAAATTCATTGAATCCAACGGTTAAGATCTAATATGATCAAATTCAACAGTAAAAAAGAAAAAAAAAGATCTAACGGTCCAAATTTATATCCAACGACTAAAGTAATTTAAAAAAAAATTATGTGTTTCATATTCTTTCATAGCATTTCATGAGTTTTATGGTGTCAATTTAGTGATTTTTCAATATTTATCGAAATCTAAATATTTTTAGGTTAAAATGTTCATAAAAGTAAATTATAATAATCTACATATTTTTTTTAAAGTTACTTTAAGAACAAAATCATCATAAATTCATTCTTTAATAATCTCGAGCTAAAAATTTAACCCATAAGGGTTGGAAGAGAAAAACTGTTTCTCGGTTAAAACCAAAATTTTTTGAGTTAAAAATTTTAAGTTTTAACCCAAAAATTAGAGACGGTCTAAAGGCACAAAGTGGATGTTTGGTAAGCTTCAAAATATAACTTAGGGTTTCACATGCACACACATCGTTGATCAATCGACTTAGTGTTTGGCATAAGGTGGAGGATGTTATTGCACTGCAATAGTTGGAATTCTTATCCGAAGCATAATCAATAACGTGTCATCCGAAACAAGAAACTTTGAGGAAAAAAGTGATAAGAAATGGATTGTATTTAGAGTTTCGAAGGTCAAATACATTGGATTTTCGAGCTAGAACTAATCACTTAACAATGAAATAAATAGGATCTAAAGACTAACAATAGCCCTTTTTTCCTTTTTTTGTGTGTGTGTACTTCTTGATGCATATCTTGATTAGGGATGGACAATGGTTATGAAGAATGGGTAATGGTAGTTATTTACCCATAACAATTTAAGTTCTTACTCACATAACCGTTTACTCGTTAGGTAATTGCATAAACGGGTATACTTATACCCATAACCGTTTATAATTGGTTAATCGTACTTACATCCATGTACCCATTTAACTGTAATAGCATACCCATTTGACCATTTACCCAATTTGTTTTGCCGTTTGTTTCTTTAACACATTGAAAGTAAAAAAAGGTGTCATAATTTTCTTTTTCTTTGATAATTGAACGTTGTTTTAGGTGAAGAAAATTGGAGTTTCACCATAAAACCAATTGGCAATAAGGGAGTAACCCAACCTCTTATAAGCACTTGCAGGGTTTTTCCTTTCACATGTGGCAAATTTTCAAGCCAAACACATACGTGGACAACATGAATTGGGTGACATGGGTTAGGTTTCACACATGGGCCAATCTGTTCTAATATCATAAAAAAAGTTCCGGTTCCACTATAAAACCAATTGGCAATATGGATAGTAACCCAACCTCTTATAAGCTCTTGTAAGGTTTCTCTTTTCACCAATGTAGAACTCTTTTACCTTCACATTCTCACAATAGGTACATTAACATGCATTTCTCTATTCAAATCCGTAAGTCCTCATACCACTACAGAAATTGAAATAATAGTATACGGACAATATTTTTAGTTGCACTAGGGGAGAGATATTTGTTTTTCCTTTCCCTATAGTGGATGCGATTTAAATTTCTCTACAAATTTAAGTTAAGGCCACAACGGTCTAGGAATATTTTTATTCGTTGTGACTTCCTAGTTCTTTTAGGCAGTTTAAATAAATATATATCACGAAGTTTGTTAACAAGTAAAAAAGCCCTAAAAAAGTAAGAGTTATTTAAACCGAGCGAAATTTTTTCGTGCCGTAATAGCAGACCTCTCAGACGAGAAATTCTTTACTGTGATGGGAATACAACAAGTGGTATATAACGTGTTTTTATGTAAGTGGTAGGAAATTTTATTTTTTAAGTTATTAACATTTTAACACACATATCCCACCATTTGTATAGTGACACGTGGTATACCATCTCGTGAGCCGACCATACTAAAAAATCTCTCATCTCGGACGAATTAAGATCCCCTCAACTACTCTTTGTGGCGTTTCAAAACCCTAAAATTAGGGGTGGGCACGGGCCGGGCCGAGCCTAAATTTGAAGGGACCGGACCGGACCCGGGTGTAAAGGAGACAGGTCGGGAATTACATTTTCTAATATAGGAACCGAACCTTACCCAGCCCAGTTGAAACGAGCCGGATCGGGCCGGGTCCACAGGTCTTTCTTTTTTGTTTTTTTTTTCGAAAAAAAAAAAAACTGGAATTTGCACTGATTGCACAAATTCACTAGTGTAGTAGATTATGCATAGGAAACCCAAATTATGCAATAGGGAACCCAGACAATGCAATAGGAAAGATTTCGAAAAATTTCCAATTCCAAATGCACCCACTTCCTTATAAAATCTTGAGCATAAACATCTCTGAACAAAGCAGATCAAGACTCAGTAGATCAAACTCACAACAGAAACCCATATAAAATAATCCACATAAAATTGAAGCATATAGCTAAATTAACAAAATTTAAATATTTAGCAGGTCATTAGGTTTATAGGCATCACAAGAAATCCATGATAAATACGAATAGATCTCGATATGAAAGCCCTAATACAAAGCTAAGAGTGACCTAACACACATGATGGCCATTTCAAAACTTGTAACACATACATCAAAATTCCCAGCAACTAGTAGGTCCTCACGTATATGCTTCTGCAAGATATAGAAAGTAATGAAATCTAGAACAGAGTATCCAAAACATAAATAACTCACCCATACAAATCACACCAGAATGACTTACTCTTTCATCAGGATTACCAAGAAACTTCACAGCACGCAAGATGGGGCAAAAAAGCCGAATCTCATTCATCCAGTTTCCAAGAGTTGACTTTGGAGCAACCACCATATGAGGGCCAGTTATTCCTCTAAACTCATGCATGTATCCCAATAAGGAGATGGTTTGCAATGTTTTACCAAGCCTCTGATGGAAGAGAACAAAACATATTCATCATTAAGACAGCTCACACAAAATAAATACACAATTCATTACATGGAAGAAAGGAAAGATTTAACCCTATTAGCCGTAAATCGGTGCTTACCATTTCATCTGCAAGGATTCCATTTATTCCATTTTCGTAGAGTCGTATGAGCCAGTTCAAACCAGCCAATTGGTAATCCCTCATCTTCCCCTGAGACAAAAGGAAAAAGGAAAAGTCTTAAACTTTAAACTGTGAAGTAAGTCATTTGAATACAACCTTCTGAAAGTTAGGAAAATCAACTAGATTTAAGAAAATTCTCTCACAAGAAGGTTGTGTCAACAATTGTGTGGTTCCAGCCCCAGCCAAACCTTCTTCTTCCTCCTTAAGGCATTCTTCATCCTCTTCCTCTTCAGTTATTTTGGAAGCATGACGACCTCTAAATTTGTGATTAAACAAGTAAGCACCAGTAAGAACTTTTAAAATCTTAATTCACTCATGCAATAATCATACCCAATTAAAGGCATTCATCCTACCTTTTTTAAACAAAAGAAATTCTTGCTCAAAAATTCAATTCCTATTTATCTCTTCAAAGAAAATAAATTACCGAAGACAATAATCAATGACATGATAGTATAGATTGAATACGCAAGACTCTTCAATGATTATTGAACTTACTTTCCCTTCACTTTCTTCTGAGATGTCGAGCATGTGCTTGCTGATCTCCTTGGAGTAAACCTGCAGGATCTAAATCTCTTCCTCCTCGATGAGGGAAGAGGACGACGCACTTGAGACGACGAATGAGAGGTGACAAATCGAGAAGATGGGTAGTGGGGTGGCTAGGTTCTGTAAGTCTGGTCCCTAGGATGTTAAATCGAGACGGCGAGAGAAAGGTGACAAATCAAGAAGATGGTGGTCACCTGGGATGTCGTGCTGTCGGGGTGGTGAAAGGAAGGGGACAACGCACTACAGATGACGAGAGAGACTCGATCGACAGAGTGAGAGTGACAGTCGAATTCGATTGGTTGAGGACGAGGAAACCTAAAACCAACGATTCAGATTGGATGGAGAGATGATCTCTTCAATCTCATCCGTCCATTCTAACTACAAACGGGCTGGTCCGAGTACCCACAGTTCCTATACTTCAGAAACCGGCCTGAATTGAAAATTTCAAAGGCCTGCCCCGCCCCGCCCCGTTTCTATTTTTACAAAATAGGAACCGGCCCGTACCCGCCCCAAACCTTGATTACCCACCCCAACCTGCGGTTCCTGTACCCATTTGCCCACCCTTACCTAAAACTCGTCATCCCAAAAGCTTCGAACTCGCCTCCCTATTAACCTCTCACTAAGCCTAGTTCTTCTGCAGCTCACTCATGGCTTGGAATTAATAGCAGAAAAAAGGTAAATATTGAGAAAAAAAAATTTTAACTCATGATCGACCAATGAAATAAGCGGTCATATGATCTCATGATAGTGGGAAATTAAGTATTTATATGATTTAAATGAACTAAAATGTAACAAAGAAATCAATAGAAATCATGAGCGAAATTAACTCATTATATTGGGAAGGGTCTCAGTTGTCCACTCGTCAAATAGTTCTTAGGGTTTTCAATTTTGTTTTTATAAATTTTACAGATAATACAAATTGTTAAATGGGTACCCATTTGTACCTGCAGGTAATACCCATGTTCACCCAGATATATTTCACGGATAAAAATTTATACTCATTACCGTTTATTTATTTAAATAGTTACACATAACCGTACCCGTTAAGTATAATTGGGCGAATTACCGTGGTTACCCATACCCGCGAGTATTTTGCCCATCCTTAAATCTTGATAGAGGCACAATGTAAAAATTAAATTGATTTATAATAGTAAAAACAATGTTTTTTTTACCAAAACATAACAAATTTTAATTGCATCTTCATATAATTTTAATTGGTTGTTTGTCTACGTAGTACAAAAATGACATCTCATCAGTAAAAATGTGAGACCCACAGCTAATGCGTCATAATTTAATGGTCAAATTAACAGATTGAGTATAGGAGGTTTCACATTGCAATGAATTTGTAAGTTAATATATGACATTGCAATGTTTAAAAGATCTTGTTATGCAACCCAATTTAAGATGGTAAAATGTAATTTATCCCCCTTTTTTAAGTCGCATCATATAGTAGAAGAGTAATCCTACACTTATCACATTTGTACCAACTATGTAATAGAGGTAAAGCCCACCAATACATATGAGTCTCATATCTATTAAAGAGATTGTACAAGTATAGTATGAAAAATGTGATAAGAGTAGCATTTTTTATATTAGAATGTGAAGGAGAAACCACTTAGTTTGTGCATGCATCACTTTCCTTTCATGTGAACTTCATTATCACAATGTTCCTATATAGCAATAGTTACACATGTATGCAGCAACTACAGATGTTGTACTGAAATATTTATGAAAATGAATTTGGAAAAAATTCATGGTCCAAAAGAATAAAATCGACATGTGTATGAAAATGGATCTAGCTAGTTGATTGGTCATCTTTATTTTGGAGAGTGAGAGAAAGAAATCATATGAAACACCTCATTGTCGTTGACAATGACCATTCCTTTGTCGCACCGATGCATGTAAAGTTTGGTGGTTGTGACTCCTCTCTTTCTGTCTCTCTCCATATTATGACGTTAAGAGGATAAGAAAAAAATGAAACTTTTAGATGCAAAAACTAGTAAATTATATGATTATTTTGTCGATCTTATGGATTTAATATTTAATGACGCGCATGATCATATTTATCTAATTTTTAAACTGATCCAGTATATACAACCAAAACTATTAGGTCATGAAGATGTATGGTCGTATTAGACAAGTAATTCAAATACGTAGTAAACCATAGTTTGAGTTGTTAGGTAAGTGAAATGATCTAACGGGTACACATAGAGTCCTTATTAGACAACGAATCATATAGTGTCTTTTAGACACCACATTCCAATCGTCTGAAGACTTGAAAAGAAGTATCTCTCCTTACCAATTTCAAAAAACATGTATAACTGTGATTAATCTGTGCTAGAACCAAATTTTCACACTTTCGTATACAATTGAGCCTAAAAAATCTAGGCACCGATGTTATAGCTTAAACACTCTCTAACAATCAAGTTGGTAAGTTAGTACTAGAATTCAGGCAGCATGCTTAAGAGCAATTGTATGGGATAACTTTAGAGAGAACCTTAATGAGTCTATGTGTACTTTTAAGGATAGTAATCATTGATTAACGAAGATAATCCTAGAGGAAATCTACAAAGAGATTTCCTTCCTCTTATTATTGTGATTACTTGAGGCGCACACCAATTTCATCAAATCAAGAATGCATAAAAATCGAGATGTGTTTCTAATTGCGGTTCAGTTATATCCAATTGCGGTTCAGTTATATCCCTCTCGAGCAAACATATCCCATTTTCCAATCTGGTGCACCTCGAAATTACTTGTTCAGATGGTTTAGTCCGGTGTGCCTGGTTCAGCTGTTACCACACACTTCGGAGATTGCTGGCCATTCCGGCCACTTCGAGCGCACATGTCGGGAACCAAAACTCATGGTCCCTAAGTGTATACAAAGAAATGATTCCTTAAGTGTGATTGGTACCTTAAAAATTTTTTGTAGTACCAATAAAGAAATAGAAATTTGAACTTGAAAAAACTTTGCCGTTAAAAACAAAGAAAACCAACCAATCTAAGGGCTAGTTAGTAAATTGGACAATTGTTGAACTAGTTTAGCAAAAATACAAGATAGTACTCGAGCACATCTAAATCTTGCCCAACACAAACCAATAAATTCCATCTAATATATTTAGTCTTTAATACTATATACCTTATATTGCAAGTGTACACTATACAAATGGGGATGATTTGTGCTAATAGCCACCTTTGTTTTTGTCATGTCCTCACTAATTATAATAAATCAATATTGCCATTTGTCACCACACAAATTAAGACAGAGTCGATTAAGGCCATGCATGAAAGAAACATAGGCTTTCCACCCGTCATTTTATCACTACTTGTGTCTCCTTCCACGGTCATCTTCCCCATCGCATAGATTAAGGAATTCTCTAATATTCTTATTCTTAATCAAACTCTTCTTTTTATACAAGTGATTCCAATTTTGTCAGCCATATATATACTCTGCCCCACTCGATGCTCTCTGGGGAATACATATATATTTTTCAACATTCTCTCTCTCTCTCTCTGGATTGCATATTTTGCAATTTGCACAAACAAACTGGTGGGATCTTATCCACCAGGACCAGTTATGGATACTCACTGGTAATTTGAATGTAAAATATCTTGCATGTGAAGGGGTTAGGATACAGGGTCCATCGTGTATCTTATACCTGGCCTTGTTTTGCCTGCAATATGCACATGTGATATACAACTCTCTTTTGTTTTCTTATTCAAGGAATTGTCACTGCTATTCCTTCTAACCCTAGCCCCACCTTAAATAGACTACTCAATCTTTACAACCACAAAGAAATCACTCACAGCTAGCTCGAAATGTACACCACGTAATTTACCAATTTCCTTTTTCTCTTTTGAGATTTTATGTTCTATTCTTTTATAGGTAACAAAAAACCCTACAACTGATAGATTGGTTCACTTCCTCATCAAGTAAAAACCTACACCTCTACATTTCTTATCAAGTATAAACCTTAATATAAGTAAGTCTCATCTTTATCAAAGATATGATACAATATTGTCTCCTTAGCACTTTTCTCTGTAAGACATCAAGCATTACAATTAAATATTAGTGTGCCATTTTGTTTTTCTACTTTGCATATATTATCCCTATATCCTCATGTTCATTACAAGCGCTAATTATTGATTCACATACTAATTTATTCACTCGTTAACATATAACGTGGAATTAACAAGTAAAAAGTCATGCAACTACGAAGAAGTAAAACGAAAAATACATAGTTTATATCTAATAATCTATACACAATTACACAGACATACATCCACTCTAGATGTAAACATTCTTAGATAACAATATTATATAACTCTCCCATATGCATAGGACTATCCTTTTAACTAATTTATACAATTTTCTTCGACGAACAAAACTAATGTACTTTTCATCTTAATTATTAATTACTTTTATTTTGATAATAAGGTTGGCATCTACAAACTAATTCAAAACTGTTTCTTGAAACCTTTTTGAAGTTCTTTCTTTCTGGGTCAATGTTTCATTTTATAAGGCATCTGCATCATAAAATAACAAAA